AAAAAAAAAAACAGTGAACTATGATCAGCCCAGTGTACTTAATCCAGTCTTGGCAACAGAGGGAGACCCTGCATCTAAAAGAAAAAAGAAAAAGAAAAAGCACTAGACAATAAATCACAGAATCTTTGTGCCTGTAGTTTCTATGATTTATTTTCTAGTGTTTTTCCTTTTTTCCAACACACATGGGACATACATACAAACTTACAATATTAACCGACTTATCTTTACAATAAGTGAGAATCTTTGGCTTTACTGATAGGTATAACTACACATAGACCAATTCAGAAAAGATCTAAAAGGAGGAAGAGTTCACAACTTTACCTGGATAATTTAAAACTTTTAAAGTTTCTACGATTACCATGAAATTCTTCTTCTTCTTCTTTTTTTTTTTTTTGGTAATAGAGTCTTGCCTGGGCACAGTGCAGTGGCATAATCATAGCTCAGTGCAACCTCAAACTCCTCAAGCAATCCTCCCACCTGGTAGCTAGCTACTATACCTAGCTAATTTAAGAAATAATTTTTTTTCTTTTTAAAGAAATGGGGTCTTACTATGTTACTCAGGCTGGTCTCAAACTCCTGACCTCGAGAAATCTTACTGGCTTGGCCTCCAGAAGTGCTGGGATTATAGGCACTGTACCTGGCCATGCAATTCATTCTAAATAAATGATGGTTATTAGCCTGCTTCCTCTGGCTCTGTGCCCCAAAACTTAAAGAATGGCTGTCCACTGATATTTTGAACAATTTCTTTCATTCTAATGATAAGATTTCAATAAGGAGCTAAATCTTGAAAATTATACAGGGCACATATACATTGACTACAAAAAGATAAAACAACTTTTAGAGCTAGAAAAAAGTATAGAATAAAATAAAATAGCTATTACACCAAATAGGGAGTAAATTCTTAAAGACTCTATACTCAAATGCGGGTAGTGGCTGAAAACAGATTTTAAAAGGCCTCAACTATGCAAACAAACAAATGCATAATATCCAAAATAAGCTTTTTAAGAGATCTGGATTATTTTAAAGTTAAATCTAATTTTCATCCCATAAAAATCTACTTAATTCTTCCAGAGAGAAAGAGGGATTTGAGGAGAGAATATTGAATTTGATGAACAGCATGCCAATTGCAATTAATGGTAGAAAACTATGTGTGTTTTTTTTTGGTGTAAAACTTTGGTGTAGAACATAGAAAAACAAAAAACTTAAATGACCTCTTTTCTTCAACAGTACAGAAAATCTTGCCTGAATTTACCTAGAGTCTAGGTCATGGACTTGATTTAGTAAATAAGATAGTTGGGCAGGACACCAAGCCAGTGATCCATCCTAAGGGATGCGTGGTCACATGATTGTAAGTGAACTAGAAGCATTACATTGGGACTGACCACTCGAGCTAAACCACAGACTTTGTCCAGACAGTTGCTTACTTAGATATATTCCAAGGGGATCATCAGACTGTTGGGAGTGGCTGGAACACCAAAATGATAACCCCCTTGTTGACTCCCAGAGCTCCCAGCTATACACTTTTCTCATTTAGTTAAAGGCTACTGTTGCCCGCCACTAGCATGACTTACTTGGTAGGAGGGATGTCTGTAGAGAAAAGGTCTATTTCAGTATCCGCCAGCAAAACAGCCTTCATTCCCCTAGAGCTGAGCACTTGTTTACAGAATTTGCAACACAGGATGGACACGCACCGGTCCTTGAAACTACAACTGTTGATAGACATGGCGTCCCAGAAAGGATGAGGCGTGCGAGTTTGAAAAAGGAACCGAGAGCGATGCCCCCTTCTACTTTGATTCCCCCAGGGTAGAAATCAAGTTAGGAGGCCACGAGCCTTGCTGGGTCCTAAGACTGGGAAGGAAAGGAGTTCTTTTTTCCTGGTGGAAGAGTAACAATAGTATTTATTGAGTAGGGACAAGGACGAGCAGCAAACTTGGTTTTCCTTTTAACTTTCGTAGAAGGGGGTGGACTTTGAACAGCTTTCCCTTTTTGCTTGCTAAAAGGATCCTCTACTCGGTTAGCTCCCGCTCTTACGGCAGTTCCCTCAGCCTTCTCCCGTAGCCTCTTTTATTTATAACCTCTCCTCTCCACAGCCATCCCTATCCCAGCTTTAAGCCCCTCCTCCAGGACCGCTCCAATTCCTCTCTCCGCTCTAAGACTAAGCGTCCCCACCCACGCCTCCTCCTCCTTGGATTTGGAAACTCCCTCCGCTTTTTCCCTGGTTGTTCTCAGTCTCTCGGCGCTCTCCCGCGACCCTCCTCCACTCTGCTGCTCCGCGGACCCTTCTCTGGGCAGTCCCCGGTGCTCAGCTAGTTCTCAATCTCGTCGTTTCTCTTGCGTCGTCCCTCCCCTCAGCTCTTCCCAGTGCCCGGCGCTGTCTCCTCCGGTCTCTCCCGCAGCGGCCGCTTTTGAGAGCAAGGTGATGAGAGGTAGAGGTCGCTTTTTGGGCTCAGTTAGCTCTGGGGTCTGTCACCACACACGCCGTTTTTTGCGCCCCCTTCCGCTTTCTCTGCCTTACACCGGCTGTCAGTTTGAATTGCCAGCGCTGCTCACGGATTGGGAGAACTAGAGTTCGCCCAAGTCCCGCATTGGAAGGCCCCGGGGCCTTCCCCTGACTCGATCCTAGTGGCCTGGAGACAGTACGCCACGCCCAGTAACGGTGCGGAGATCAGCTTGGCTTTCTGGTTGGTCAATCCTCGTTCCGCCGCCGATCTCATTGGCCAGTTTCGGGATATTTCGGCAAACCCTCTTCCCGCCCTAGTGAAAGTGGCCAGACCCGCCTCTCACGCTTCTTATTGGAAGACGTCTTACAGTCCCTGCCAGTCTTTACTGTCTATTGGCTAAAGTTCCCCACAACACCCCCCTCCTCTTTTCTCCGGTCCAATTGTCGTGCCTTAGCACAAGAGTTTGTGTTTGGTAGTCGGTTCCACCTTAATCCCGCCCATCAGTTCTATTTTAAGCTCCTCCCAGGGCCTTCGAGCCCGAGGAGGAGCTTAATGTGTAACCACGCCTGGACAGTGCTAGTCACACCTCCAAGTTCTGCCAGCTCCTCCCCCTCATTCCAGGCCTCTTGGGATCAGCTATTTCTATTGGCTATCGGCCCCATCGGTCGATAGAAAACGGGCGGTGATTGGTAAGGGGGTGGGATTTGCTTCCCGGCGGGGTCTTGCGGAGTTGGCCGAGGCTCCTCCGGGACTGGGGGACTGATCTGCGTAGAAGAGGGTGGCGGGGAGGAGAAAAGAGCTCTGAGTGAGAAGCGGAGCCGGGGGCCTGGGACCCGTCGCGTCACAGCAGGTAAAGGCCCCCTTCTTCTCTTTTTTCTTCTTCCCGGCCGCGGGGCTGGAGCCCTGACTAAACAAACCCGGGCTGGGGCGGGAAGGAGAGGGCGCGGATGCTGCTCGCGGCATCGCCTTAGCGGTGCCGCCCGGGATCCCTCAGACCGCCCCCACCCCTTCCCGACCCTCTCCAAATCTCCCAGTACAGCCCATAATACTTCTCAAGACTGTGAGTCTCTCCGCCCATCACCGCACAGCCTGGGACTCTGCCCTGGCTCACAGACCGCAGCGCAGCCCGCACCCAGCCTCCTCCCCAGTCTCTCTGCACACGGGTAGTGTGGTCCACCTTGGGGCAGCCATCGCTGGCATAGCCAATAACGATCGGCGGGCCTCTTCCCAAATCCTGGCGGACGGCCTGGGTCGCAATCTAGGACCCAGAAGATGGGTGTTGGCATAGCTTCCGGGGCTCTTCCCCTGTCCCACCTCCTGGCCCGCGCTTTACCCACTCTGATTCCCATATCATAGCTTGGTCCCCAAAGTTGCTAACATCCTTGCACTTCACATAACATCGCGGCCCACGATAGTCTTCTAGTTCCCCGTAACTCCCAAGGCAGCCCTCTCCTTGCTACCTCCTGCCTTCCAAGTTTATGCAGCTCCAGTTGTCCCTGGGCTCGAGTACAGGCTCAGGACCCCACCTCACACCCACCTCCTGCTTCCTGCCCTCCGCTTCTGCTCCCTCTCTTCCTCTCTCGGTGTGACCCTTCAGATGAGGGAAGTGGCAGATAGTAGAGGCAGGGGCGACCAAGAAGGGAGGGTCGCCGCTGCGGCACGCGGTGGAGTTTGACGCCGTCTCTGCGCTCCCGCTTGCTTTCCTCCCTACTCCCCGGCCTTGGCCGAGGTGGGATCTCCCCCGGCACCTCCTGGTGCGAGGAATCGAGACCGCGACCCTCACCGACCTGTCCCTACCCTCAGCCTAGGATTGGGTGCGGTATCCGGGCTCCCCGGGCTTGGGTGACAAAAAATATTAGAGGTGGCATTTGGAGTCACTCTGGTCCCAGGCTTCGGGGAGGCGACGGTTGCCTTCCGCCCGCCGCCCCCTGTTTTCCCGGCTCCGACCCTATCCTCTAACCCGTTTCCTGCTTCTGCCGACCACATTGTTTTCCTGGATGTGTCCCTTGCGGAGTAGGCTTTTTCCTGCAGATCCCCCCCACCCGCCCTAACATTTAGCTGCCAAGAGAAGCTAGTAACCAAAAACAAAACAACTGGGAGGAGGGGCGGGAGGGGAAGAAAAGTTGTGCCCGGGTGGCTTGTCTCTCCCTGGCTTTGATCCCCTTTGATGTCCTGGGAGGTGCCCCAGCCGGGGGTCAGGGGCCACGTCGGGGGCTGGGCCGGGAGGGCCCCCAGTGGCTGGCCGCTGCCCAGCGCCGGCGCGGCTCGCGAGGCAGCTGAGGTGCCGCAGTCCCCGCCTGGAGCCCAGCGTTCCCGCCGCAGTCCCTGCCCGGAGCCCGCGCTGGCGGCTGCTCCAAAGTGTTTTCTTTCAGCCTTAAAACAAAATCCGGAGGGAGCTTCCTTCCTCCCTACCTCTCAGCGCCCTGCTCTGCGGGCGGCGTTTGGCCAAGATGAATGGGCCCCGGTCGGGCTCAGAAAGACGTCCCTTACCCCACCCCCGCTGCGATTAGGATCTGGTCTCTAGCTGATCGCCCCCTCCCCCTTTTCCTGCATTTACAGGCAAGTGAACCGGAGCAAACGACTTCCGATCCAGTCTGCGCTGCTGCGGCTCCCGTTTGGGATTTGATTTGCAGCATCTTGTAGTCTCTACGACAAAAAACCGCGAAGCACGCCCAGCCCTTCCCTGGCACCCCTATACGCACCCACTCCCTCGCGGGGATACAGCTGGGCGCGTCCACACCCCCACACCCCCACATCATGTTGTGCGGAAGGACTTCCACTCCCCGCCTGTGTCGTTGATGTCAGACCCCAGGCCAGCCTCCGGGCGCTGCAGTTCTCCCGGCTAATGCTGAGGCTGCGGCTCCGGCTCTAGCACAGGAACGAGCTACTGCCGCACCCGGCCCCACCGTCTGCATGTGCCCGCCGTAGCCGCTTGCCCATCCCGCAGCCCGCGCTCCACGGAGCGCTGGAGACCACCGCGGGGGGCCCCTTCTGTCCTGGGGAGAAGCGGTCTTGGAGGTATTGATTTTGGTGGTTGGATTTTTCCCGTGGATCTATCAATTCACAATTTGAATTTGGAAGAAAGAAGGAAAACATGACGTCTCCAGCCAAATTCAAAAAGGATAAGGAGATCATAGCAGAGTACGATACTCAAGTCAAAGGTAAGGGCTTTGAAAAATAGCATGCTACAAATGCTCTGTGGACTGGGAGGCATGTATTTCCACCCTGATTTGCAGGCTGTTCATTTCTTTGGGCGGAGCAGGTGGGGGTAGGCTGACCGACCCCATAGGTGGTTTCATAGATGGGTCTGAACCTCTGAAGGATGGGCAGTGCCAGGGGCCACAGGTGCTGGAAAAGAATTTGTGGAGTGGGCTTTAGGAATGTCTCTATGAGGCTGAGCATTATTTTGGCAGTCCTCTCCCTGAAGCTGGACGGGGAGGGGGAGGGGCAAGAGGTTCTTGGAGAGAGAAAGGCACATTTTGCCTCTGTGTGTCTGGGTCATGTTTCCTTGAAGGACAACTGAAATCTCACAGGTGTTTGGACGTTTATTTCAGAGATGGAAAGGGAATCAAGACAGAAAAGCAACCTTAGGGAGGTGTACCATTTGGAAAGCTCTGGGAGCGATGGTGATGGGGGGAGTGTTTCTGATACACTATATTAAAATATGAGATTTGCTATGACATTGGACACTGAAAGTCCATAGCCACTTTGGGTGCATCTTGTACTTGCCTGATGTCTGGTCAGCTTGCTTGTGATAAGAGATCAATGGGAAATCTGGGAAGAGAAAGAATAAGGGCACCCACACACCGTCTCCGCCCTCATCTAAATCTGAATAGAGTTGGGATGTTAGAGTTGTGGAGTGGGCTGATTGTGGTAAATGGGAAGACATAATTGTTTAACCCTTCTATGTTGTCATCCTCTACTCCAGAATGCATGCTTTTAAAGCCCCGTTTCCCTCTATAAACATGTGAAGGATAAAGCAAAATGTGGACTGGAGAAACCAACTGACCTGTCTCCTTATCTAGTCAACTGCCTGACATGGCTTCTGAATGAGAGCTTGTACTCAGATAGCCTTTTCTTAACCAAAAATTCCCTTAGGAGGAGGGTTCCTGCTTGTTAAAGAGCCCCAGCATGTGTTTGTGCAAGGCACTCTCCCTTCCTGGTCAGTCATTGGTAAGAACCATGTGGCTCCAGCCCATTGAGACCTTAGCTGGGGAATAGGAGGTGTGGGTGGCCTCCACATGGTTGGAGCTCTGGGTTTTCCTTTGTTTCAGAGTACAGAGTGAGGGGCCCCTCCTTTCCCTGCACCAGTGCAAGGAGACCTTTTCCTATCATAGATGGCTTGGGAAGGGCCATGTCTCCCCTCTAATGATTTCCTGGAATGGGGGTAGGGGTAGAGTTTGAAATGGGCAACTCCCTTATCTCTTGGAAGGTTGGAAGGTAGTTTGAGATCTCCATTGTGCCTCAAATTTATTTTGTAGAATTTTTATTTTTTATGTTATCATTTTGGTCTATGCTGGAGGTGCCCTG